GAATCAAAGATTAAATCAATAGATGATCATGACTATATACTTCCTTCGTGGATTGATTGTTTATCATATGGTGGCCTGATAGTCCCAAGCAATAACTTTAAAAAACATATTTTTAGAGCTGAAAGAATTTTTAGAAAAATTACCAAGCAAAAAATCCCCAAAGGACCAGGTATAGTAAAACAACTTTTACATAAAATAATGAATAGAATGGATATCGAAGAAAAGTATAGACCAGTTATACATACATTTGTAAGGCAAAGGATCTTTATTCGTATGAAATATGCAAATAAAAATCATCAAATTCTAGTTTCAAAAAGAAAAGCAAAATTACAATTCCAAAAACTTCAAAAGCTGAGAAAACTTATGACTTGAAAATTTATATAACTTTATAATTTGTTTATTGTATTGTGTTTTTAAATGAAAATAATTAAAAAAAATTTGTATATTCTGTATTTATGGGCTGTGTTTTTATTTTATTATTACAATATTACCTCCTCCAATTTATTTAATAAAAATATTATAATTTTAGGAATCATTTACATAAATATAATGAAAAATATTGAGTATAGAAAAGGTATTTGTAAATCAAGTTCAATAGAGATTGTTATTTGTTATAGATACATAGCTTTATTTTACACTTAGAGCATTACGTACCTAGCCCCACCCACAAGTACAGTAATTAAGCATTTTAGTGGGTACGAAAATTGAAAGATCAATGAAAAATTAAAATAAACAAGTGTCGTGTACTGCAGTAATTGAATTCGTGGTGTACGGCAATGACGTCATATGGCAGGGAATGAATGCGGGGGGTTCGTTTTGTTTACGCGACTGTGAGGCAACCTCTATTATCTATAAACCTTGGATAGGTTAACGTTGGAGATTAAAGCATTAAGAACTGAGGAAAGGAGAGTAATTAGTGGGCTGATAAGAGAGTTGAGGTTATTAATGAAATTGGATAATGTAACGGAAAAATTATCTGAGGGAACGTCTTGAATCCGGGTGGCTTCGGCGTACGATTTCGGCCTGGAATGATATTGTGGCTCCGGAACTTTGGTTGTAGGTGCTATTGGTGGTCTTGTTTTTTTTTGGGCTTTTTGGAAAGCTGGACAACCCCTGAAATTGGCGGTGTGGTCACCGGAGCAAAGTGCACATTTTGCTGGACTTTTCCGGTCCTTGGAGCATTCTTGTGTAAGGTGATCCGCGCCACATTTAACGCAACGGGCGGCGTGGTTGCAATAGTTTTGCGTATGACCAAAAGATTGACATCTATGACACTGAGGAAGGCTGTGGCTCTTTTTGTGGGGTTTTTCGATAGTCACTTTGGAATTAAGTAAAGACTTAATATTGTGAATTTCCACGTTGTTTTCGTTCGGGTATATCTCCACAAAGAATAGTGGGAGGGGACGTTTATTTTTGTCTTTGACGTTGTGAACGTGTTTTACCTGGTGACCTTGTTCGTCCAGAGTGGAGGAGATGTCGGTAATTAAGGTAGAAGGGTGTAACCCCCTGATGGCGACTCTGTAGGGGCGAGCCACACGAGGCGAAAACGTATGAAAACTGGCATCCGTGTCATAAATGAGTGACAATACTGTTGAAACTAATACGACCTGAAGGTTGTACGATGAGATAGGAAGCCGAAGACTTGCAAGTAAAACTTGGGACCGGCGATACTTGTTAGAATGTGGTTGAAGGCGGAGAAGTTTGTAATGTTATTTATGTAGATTGGTGGTGACGGAGGATCAAAATCCACATCGGTACGTGGTGACTTGGTGTGGTCGTCATTAGAGCTGTTTGAAGATGAGGGAGCATCGGCACTGTCACAGGTATCATTAGCGAGAACGGCAAACTAGTTTGGTGATACGAAAAATTTTGATTTTTTTCCATCCTGCATGGGTGACAGAGACGAATTTGAGAGATGACGTTTTGAGGGAATGCGTGTACCTGGTAAGTCCTTACCAATTATATGAGTATTTTTGTTCGACGACATTGTTAATTGGAAACTACCGATAGCATTCACTGAACGAGACAATAGTACAATACGCGTACTGCGGCGATAACGGAGCGAGATAACAAGGAGTACCTACGTGTACTCATGTTGAACGTTGCGACCGAACTGATATATTATAATTATGTAACAGAATAATCGACAATGCAAAATAATTACCTCAAAGGTATGTGATATGCATAGAAAATAAATAAATAATAACAGATAAAGTAGTGGGAAAAATTAACTAGGAACTGTTACATTATAATTATTAAGTCGAAAAAATAACTAAAAAAATAATTATTTATTTACGTATAATTTATAAGTACCCATCTTATAATGATGTATTGATGTATATATATCTACCTATGATACCACGCCACCACAATCAATGGGTTACCTCGTCACCAAATATATATCATATTGGTTATATACTTACCTGCGACTTACCTATGTTGTTTGCTGGTATTACGAGAAGTCTTCTATGCCACTATGCATTAATCAATTTAATCAATTTATTAATTAATACCTAATTAACTATGTCATAATCGATGGTTTCAATGGTTTAACAGAGATAATTTAGATTCCATTTAGAATATTCATTTTTATTACCTAGAAAATAATAAGTTTTCCAAAAATTGTTTTTTATATTGAAGAATAAAAATGTTTTTATAAAGACGTGTTTAATAAAAACGAAAATTAAACCTAAAATAGTTTCATAATTCTTGTCACATAATATTAATCCGTAAACGTAGATCGTACATACAAAATATGTAGTTATCTATTTTTTTCTTTCCCAAAAGTGTTGTTTTGTGGGACTTAGTTCATATTATTCACAATTCATAGGCGTAACTAGGGGGGAGGGCTTAGGTGGACTTCAGCCCACCCAAAATTGTTGGGTAATTGTATATGCTTATGAACATATTAGTATTAACTTTACTTTTGCCTACAATATAAAAAGTATAATGTTTCATATGAATGAATAATCATTCAAGTCAGTTGTAAGCACCATTAGAAATAATAAATAATAAATAATTATCTAATTAAAAAATATTTGCTATAAAACATTATAATCTAGCCCTCCCCCCCCCTAACTTAAGAGAATAGTTACACCTATTAAATGCACTCTAAAAAAGTCTTCTGCAAGAAGAATGTGTAAGCGCATGGCTGCTTATTAATTAAAGCTGAAAATTCAAGTGTGAGACCCTAGGGGTAATGAATAATGAAATGTACTTGATTTAAATTGGGGAACATATCAAAGTTATTGCAAAGTTCTTAGCATTGTTGTACATCAATCTTTAATGATATATCGGGGGAGGTTCTCTTAGTGGCAAAGCGGTCGCAGTGAAATGTCCGGGTTTGAAAATAATATGATCGACATTTAAAACGGTAAGACCTATAAAAGCAAATCCTTACTAACAGTACAAGTGATGTATTAAATGTTCATGCATCTGACAATCATCTTCAGTGTTTAAAAAAATGAATTTCTTAATATTATTGTTGATAAATAACATATTATGAATAGCATATTATAAAATTTTAAATGAACATAATGTTATATTCATATTAATCATATTATATTGTACTAAACCATTTTATTGTAAATTTACTAATAAATAATAATGACTATGATTATCAGACTGTATTAGAACACCTCAATGACATACCAAAATTTTCAAAATTATGAACTGTTATAGTTAAAATTTCAAACACTTGGGAAAAAAAACAGATTCAAGACAAAATGTGTCAGAAAAATCAATCACAATTAAGGACTTATTCAAAAATGTTTGACTTAATGCACTGGATTAGCCTTGAAAAATTTATAAAATATAAAAATACACTAATACATTGTACATACATTGGCAGTAACAGATCCAGAATTTTTTTAAAGGGGGGGCACATTATTTATATAATATTAAATTAATTACAAATTATATATTTAAGAAATATAAATTATAAAATATATTTAAGAAAAACATATGTTAATAATATACTAAAAGTCTCAAATACCTACTTACCCCCGAATTTTTTTTTTAAATTACAACCTTATAATATTTAATAAGCAATTTTGTCCAAATTTGAACTCAAAAAAAACTATTTAAAAAAACTCTGTTTATATATTTTTTGGTTACAGGATTAAATAATTATGTGGAACGTTGTTTAAAATGTAAGCTCCTCAGCTATAGAAGTTAAATATTTTATACATTTTAAAATACAGTAGAACTCCGATTATCTGGACTAATTAATGTCAAGGGTGGTCCGGATAAGCAAATATCTGGATGATTGACGTATGATATATCAAAAGTTATATAGTTGTAAGAATATATTGGATGTGTGTATTTATTATTCATATATATGTAATATAATTTAAAATTTGTACCTATAAACAAATAATTGTATTATATATTTAACTGAAACAAAATAATCCTTAATTGCTATTGTTCAATTCTTCTTGCCTCTCAAATCATTTAAATGAAAAATCCAATGCATCAAAAGCTTCAGAATTCTTAATGTACCTACACCGGAATGATAGATATTATTAAGAATAATATATACCTATTCTTTATCTAATCTAAAAACAATTATGAGACACGATTTTTTTTCTCTTCCGGTTAATTGGACGTCCGGATAATCGGAGTTCTACTGTACTAAATAATTTGTACATTTTCAATCTAATAAATGTTGTCAATATTTCAACATTAAATGCTTATAAAAAAATGATGCTTTTGTATCTTTTATATTTTTTAACTTCTGTTGTAACAATATATCAAGAGCCTTGTACTAAATTTTGATGCTTTTTTTTAACAAATAACTTTGTGTTGACATTTATAGAACAAAAATTTAAAAAATTTAAAATGTCCATGAACAATTCAAAACGAGTTGAAATCATTTGAAAATTTTATCAAGTCTAGAAAATGATAAAATGAACATATGATAAAAACTTCAAGTGTTTTTAAAAAATAACATTTAAAACATTTAAAACAATATTTTTACAGTAACCCTAAGGCGAAAAATAAGTAGGTACCAAATTACAGATAACTACTAAAAATTTCAAATTAACAATAATTATTTTAATGTGCTTAATTACTAGGTTAGTGCATGAAGGCACATATTTCTAGTTATCAAATAATAACAAAAAAAATGCTTTTTAATCTACAGTTTATCCTCATCACCTAATTTGACTGACTTTCCATCCACAGATTTTTCAGGATTAGGAAATTCCAATTGAACAGTCACTGGTCCATCATTCACTAATTCAACTTCCATCTTTTCCCCAAATGATCCATCTAAAATGAATTATTACTATTATTATTATAAAACAATAAGCATACAACATAAATAAAGAAATATTAAGACAATAAAATCATTCTAGTAGTTTTCTAGTTAGGGCAGGGCCGTATTTACAATTTTTGCGCCCTGGCTCAACCATAATTTTACGCCCCCTTCCCAACCAAAAATAGATCCACTTTTTTGATTTTTCTTAACACATTTTTAGTTTTAATTATTTACGGTTGTCTATGTATAACCGTGGTTATGTTAAAATAATATTAAATACATTCTATACTAGGTGCTAGCACTTATCCGTTATCGTTGCACTGTTAAGTTCACAAGGGTCCGGCACAGTACAAATTCTTTCCATAAAAAAAATATTTATTGATACAATACTACACTGAGTTACCGCAGGGGGCCCAGCCGCCCCCTAAATAGATTAATATTTGCCTGCCCGGGGCAAATGTCTCCATTGCTTCCCCCTAAATATGGCCCTGAGTTAGATAGTTTGATTTCTTTGATTATAGATAAAAGAGCAAGCCAAAGAACATAACATAAAATATTTATATTTTTCATTGTGCATTTTTGGTGTTAAGATACATTAATTTACAACACTAGTACAAGCTAAAATATTTAACATTAAGTTTTTTGTATTTTATGTATCACAACATTAAGTTTAAGATAATAAATGATACAATTAAAATAATACTTTTAATTAGATAAATCTGTCTTTACCTTTAACTTTATCAGGGTTATAATGTTTATGCAAAGTCTCCAAAAAATATTGATAATTTTGCCTTGCAAGATTTCCAGGCATAGCCATATGAAAGTCTAATTTATTTCCTTTAAGTTTATAGCAAAGAGTAAACTGACTAATTGACAATATTTCATAACTCATGTCCACGACATTGCAATGCCATTTTTTTTCATCTTGATCAAAAATACGTAGCTTTAATATCTTCTGCACCCTGTAATAATAAATACATCATAATAATTATTAAATACAAAACTTATAATAAGTTAGGTTAGGTCAATAATTAATAACAACTTTAAAATTGTAATGACTAACCATGATATAAAAGAATAATCGTACAGCTCCATAAATGCTTTAACAAATTAAAAAATTGACATATATTTTGTTTATAATTTACTATATAATAGAGTAAAGTACCGCAATGAGCAATTTATTTTTTTCACATTGATGTCAATAATTTTATATTATATAGAAGAACAAAACATATAGTTAGTTAATAATAAGTTATTTCGTACACTATAAAAATAAATTCAATATTATCTTACATGGCATCAATATCGGTTTTTTCATCAGTTTTCTGCAAACCGACCAACAAACATAATCCTTTAGTAATTGAATTTACTTCATGTCCAGCAACTAAAAAAAAAAAAATATAATTTAATCCAACCTTTTACATAGGTTTATTGACAAGGTTAATTATTTTCTGACAGAAAAATTGCACATTGGAACATACTTAATGGAATAATAAAAAATCACAACAAAAGTTTTCATTTTTAAAATCAAAACAGGATTATCTTTTACTATTAGAAAATCAAATAAGGCTTATACACTTAGTAGATCTGTAGCATTTTTTTATTTAATAAGCTTGCTAGAAAAACTTGGCTAGCAAATAACCCAAAAGAAAAAAAAACAAAGTTTCTAGAACTTTTTGAATGGACAGCTACACTTACTTTGATTAAGTTTCGGAATACCTGCACTCGTACAAAAAATGTCATGAAATTCATGTTTTATTTGATAGGTATTTTCAATAGCATTTTGTTTGATGATTCCTAAATATTAAAGTCACCAAACTACTGATTTGATGTATTGGATTTTACATAAATATGCCTACAAAATTAAAAAAAAATATTATAAGTTGATGAATAAAAGACAATAAAAACTGTCCATCTAGAAAATATTTTAAGTAAGAAATGTTATTTATGAATTTGGTAGGTATATGATTTATACTTTCAGTTTCTAATGGATAGTCTTTAAAATGCATTCACCAATGTTCATTGAAAATTAGCAGAAGCAATGATGTGACAATGACATTGACATTGAGGTGCAACCATGTTTTAACATACCTATTTAACAAGAGTGGTAAATCATTAACATCAACACAATCGTAAACACAGAAATATCGTAGTGACTCACTATTTGTTCATTATTTGTATGCTAAATAAATACATTTTAAAAATATCCACCATCAAAATTAATAAATGTATGAATCATTTTAATGTATCAAATATCTAATATTCAGTAATTGAAATTGTCAGCACCTATCTTGCGATCTATCTTATATTGTGATTCTCATTGTCCAATATTTTTCCTCTGTACCTTTAATAATTTATTATTAAATGAAAAATAACAATATTAACTCAGAGAAGCAGTTAAAGAATGATTTATTTTTAAATTTAAATTAGGTTTGTTTATATATTTCATTTCATAGTTTGAAGAATGGCGTAACATATTTTACTAATAATAACTTAAATATTCACCTGAAATTTTGGCTCTTGAAACACGTTGAACGACTACCTTCATAATGTTTATGTATGAAAAATAATATTAGTAAAATTGAAAGAAACTACAGAAGTGTAAGGTTGGAAAAGACTAGAGTTTAGAGTAAAGACATCATTCCGATAGAAAACGTTAGAATTTCTCAATTTTTGAAAGATAATGATAACACAATATGTCGGCTGATAAGTGATAATGAATAATATTATCCACGAACATTATCACAGAATAATAATATCACAACAAAAACACCTCGACAAACTGCGTGTAAAAAAAAAATACTAAATAGATCTTTCAGCATTTTAAAGATATGATCATAGCTAAACAAATGCTAAGTAAATTGAATTTATGTACACTTCTCTTGTTTCAATAATTTATATACTTGGCGAGAGAAATTGTATAGTTTTTATGACGCGGCATTGAAGCACCTTACATTTATGAATATTTTTATGATATCTATAAAAAAGCATCTGATCTAGCTCAGAAGTTGTATTTTTCAATATCATTACCATGAATTGCACGTAAATGTTAGTACAGAGATAACTATTTTGTGAATAGGTACACCTGAAGAATATTTTAAAATATCAATTCTTATAACTTATTTAGACTTGTTTATTAACGAAATTGAATGCAGATTTATTGAACATCAGAAAATATTAAAAATATTTCAAAACTTATTTCCAAAAACGTCAGAGATGTTAACACTTGAAAAAGATGAATTTATTAGTTTGATAGATTTTTATAATGATGATTTGCCAAATAACCCGCAAAGATATTTTGATATCTGAGTTACAACTTTGACAACTTAAAATACTTGCACTAGATAAACAACCTAAAAATTCTACGAGCGTTATAATTATTTGCAATAACATAAGGTTATCCAAATGCATACAATAATTACTACAAATCTTAGTAAACACTAATTGTTTCAACTGCTTCATCCGAAAGGTCGTTTTCATCATTGAAGATATTAAGATAATTAATAGGTACCTACACGGAATACAATGGCAGAGGTATTTATATTATATAATAAATAGCTACTCTATATTTAAATAAAATAAAAATATTAATGACATTTTAAATTTGTAGAAAAGATTAAATGAATTGGCAATGCTGGCCATCCATCGTTTAATATCAGTAGATGCAAATTACGTTTTGGACATTAGTGTTTAAATAAACATTTTTACTAATAAAGGAACTCTTTCATTTTTCAAATAAACGACAAAAAAAGAATCCTTTTTTTGAAGGAACAAGGAACAGAACGAATTCCTTTTTTAAGGAACTTGCCAAACACTTGATTTTTCCCTGCTACCTGCCTATTTATAGCCTCATAGCTGTGGTGATACTGGATGTAGTGTACATTGTTTACTCAATGTAGACAGTACACACATCCGTGTATAAATTATAAATAGACATAGGCATACTTAATATTCATAAATAAAAAAAATAGCTAGGTATTACAAGCAAGTGGTGTTGTCTCCGTTTTACAAATGTAAAACATTGCAAAAACTGTCATGCGTGGGAAAAATCAAAAACGGAAAAGGCACTGTCATAACTAAAAAACGAAATTTCCACCACATAAAAAGGAAAACTTTGGTTGTGAAATATCTTTTTTATTTTTTAGATATCGGAACTGCAAAAAAAGTTATTCAAGTTTGAAAATCTATGGTAAAAATGTTAGATTGTTAAAAATAACCAATAATTATATAAAATTACAGTTTCCCGTAAATTGTATTCTCGCACCACTACTGCTTGTACATGTTATATTGACATATTGTTATTACTTATTAATTATTATACATTTATATCTCATAAAATACTTATTACAATATTAACATGTTCATATATTTATAATAACATGATGTTATTTCAATATCGCAATTTGCAAAACATTATAAATACGTAATAAAGAATTCAAAAATAATATTAGACTTGTTATGGTAAATTTAAAATGTATATTTTTTGGTCGAAAATATTTGATAACAATTAATGCATAATAATTTATAATCATAATATTATGTTTTATTTTTGATGAATACTTGAAAATCCAGTTGCATATCATCAAGCTCGTCATGGATCTTTAAGTTAAAATAATTAATTTTGTTCATTATTCATCATATATTATATAATCGATTTACTACAAAGATATAAATATGAATATTGAACCGTGAGACAATGATCATGGTGTGCGTATTACTGGACCACAGAAAATAATTCAAGTGCTTTTTGAACTTTATTTAGTTGAATGTTGCCATTGATTAGTTGGTCCAATAATCTTTTATCCGGACAAGTCTTCATAACCTAAATTAATATTACAAAACATTTTTTTTTAATAAATAAATAATCTTTAAAACAGTTTTTTTAACTGAACAATCTATAGTCTATAGGTACCTAATATGCACATTAAGCTTAAACATTAATGGTAGGGATTAACATGAAGGGGTTGATTAAGCTGTCATCCATTAATGACATTTATCTTGATTTATTTATTTTTTTAATTATTATTTATTTTTTGAAATTGATTGATACAGAGATTTTGATTATATTAATTGACGCAAGTATCACGAATCACGACACCGCTTCATTTTTAACCTTCATAGAATATTCCCTGGTAGGTAGTTTTATGATGGAGTCGATGGAGATATCTTTATAAGGAGGTCGGGATGTTTTGGAGTAACTTTTGAAATCTCGTATAAAAGAGAGTTTGATAGTTTTCATGTTAAAATCGTTAAGTATTAGTGTTTGGTTGCTGGTTGGAGATATGTGGTTGGGCGTTGGAGAGATATCGAAGAGCTATATTTTGGGAATCTTTAAATTTAAAAACTAGGTATCATAAATAAATTGATTATAAAAACTGTTATTTTTTTTTTTTTTATTAAAAGAAACTTTGTAAACAATTAGCTTCGACAATTATGGTTATAACAAAATTACATAAGAAAGCAAGATTAACAACAAAAATAATATTACAGATAAATTAAATTTTTAAACCAGTCTGGTTGATGAAGGATATAAGTGAGGTAATAAAAAAAAAAAAAAAACTGTTATTATTAGACATTAATTATTACCTATCAACTTACACTAAGTCAATATCGCTAGGGTACCTTGGAATGGTGCGATATACTTCAATGGTCCATGGTATAAAATATAAATAGTTTAAAATTAATCTTAATATTTATAAATAATTACGAAAACAATTTCGACTTTATATTTTTGACATTATTAAATTGCTATTCATATATTCGTTTATTTATGAGGAACCTTGCATTCGATTTTAAATTGTTTGGTAGAACATAAATGTTATCAACACTAAAAAATTTTAAAAAAAATTAGAAAATGTCATAGGTTTACTTATTATAGACAGTTTAAAATTAAAATAAATATTTTGAGAATTTCGTTAGAAAATAGAAATTTCTTTAAAAAAATTGATCATTTAATAGTAACAGTGGAATGTTTTAAAGTTATTTATTGCCTATATTTTTTGAATAATAATGTAATAACCAATATTGGAAGATAAGTTGCATTAGATATAGGTAGGTACACCTTTGTATACCGTCTAAATACTCATAAATAAATAAATGTACTCAACTCATTTCATTATTAGAACTTCTGAGAATAAGTTTAAAAAAATTATTATTATTAAGCATTATAATTATAATTACTTATTAATATTATATGTGTATAGTGTATACCATATCCATATTCCATGTATATCACAGCATTTAATAAAATATGATTAAAAAATTGCTTTCTCTAACAGGGCACTTAAGTAGTAATAACTAATAAGGTATACCTACTATTGGGTTAGTCGTAGGTGTATTATGGTAAATAATAATTTCCATAACAAACTAATGAGCCTTTGTTCATTTCTTTAAGCGTTTTGTTTAAAAATTTAAATGCCATATGATTGAGTTGAATAATTATCAACATTAATTTATGGGTGTATTATTTTTGAATAGGTAGGTATACCTAGTGCATACTGCATAATACTGTATAGGATCACAAATAAATAGGTATATAATGCATATATCTATAAACTCTTACCCAAGGTTTATTCAAAGTGATTTTCATTATTCGTCCCCATATTCGTTCAACTAAGTTGAGCTTTTTATTTTCCACCGGTAATTGTTCTTTAATTATAGGATCATCAAATATTGGTTTTAAATACGCCCATGTCCTAACAATCATTTGTTTTCAATTAAAATCAAATGCATTTGTTATAATAAATACAAATAGGTTACTTATTTAAACAATTTATAACTACTCTTTCGGAAATGGTTACTATTTTTTTTATCACATAGATAGTAATTTATTATTTGTAAACAAGCAGTTGCAGTATCATAAGAATGGAAGTTATTTTTAAATCAAATTTAAACATTATGATCAGGTAGGTAAGAACTTGGTACAACAAAGTAGGTACCTACCTACATAAATATCCAATGTGGATAAAACTAGCATGAATAATTTTAAACATATCATTATAAATACAAAGGAATCTGAAAAGATTAATAAAGATTAATTATTGTAAACAAATTGTTTTTTATTTTCTTATCTATAAGTAATAATTTAAGTTTATTAAATTTGTCTATATGGCTATCTATTTCTATTTTGAGTATACACACCATAATGCATATACTGAGAATTTGATATAAGATTAACTACTTAGACTAACCTAGATTAGAACTTGAATTTAAATCAAGTACTATCAAGTAATCATGTAGGTATCATACTTTTGAAATTCACTCCATTCTTTAATAACATCTTTTGAAAGTCTTAATTCATCCTCCCATTTAGTTAATGGTTCTTCAAATATTCCTTTATATGAACTTAATGATAGTTGTTGAGTATCCAAAATATGATCATCAAGCATTTGTAATTCTTTATCTGATATTGTTGAAATATAAATTTCTTTGTCATTATAAGGCAACAATCGTAACTTTACACCACTCCATTCGTCCATCATTTTATTCAAAGCAATTTCAATCATATATTCTTTAGAAGCATTGTCTGATATTTGTTTTACCTCTTCTATATAGTTTTGAACACCCAATGCCAAACATTTTTTAAAAGTCAGCGTTGATGATAATGTAATTTTTACTCCTATAAAAAGATTAATTGTATTATTTTATTTAATATTTCTAAACATACATTATAGATGTATAGCAAACCACAAATAGTCAATAGATAGGTAGTTAGGTTTAAGTAGGTACCTACCAATATTACGTATTGTACAATACCACTACAATAATTAATAATTATTCACCAGTTTTATCAAAAAATGCATCCCAATGCCTTTGCTTCATCCCTTGAGTTAGTATATGGTTCAATAAATGTATCATGGGTATATACTGTTCAATTTGTGTTTTTATTTCATTAGCTACGCTCAAAGTGCCTGCACTCATTAAAATACAAAAATATTTGTAATTTATCTTTAAAAAATAATCAATGTTTATTTATTATTGTTACCAGGTATTTCAGCAAATTGTTCAACAGATTTTGTGGCAATATTTAGTAAATTGTTTAACAAAGGTTCTAGAGTAGATTTTTCTATATTTGCCAATGGATTTTGCATCCAAGCATTTTGTAATTTAAAAAACTCTGAAGCACTTAGCCATAATGTTTTATATGGTTGAAATTCGTCCACCAAATGCTCTACATTATCGAAGGGTGTTATCTAATTACACATTTTAGAGTGAATTAGTTGCGTAATTTCAGTTTTCACGATAAACGGGGGCAACATGTTTAACCATGGGCGGATAGGTCCTTTTTTTACCGTTATATATTTATTAGGGCCACATATACTTAGCACCTATATATTTATGTAAAAAAAATTTAACTTCTTTTGAGTTATATCATTGACACAAATCTTAATCCATTTTTTTTATTTTAGAAGCCCCAATTTCGAAATTTTGTTTAGACATAATTAATAATTATCATATGTATTATTTAATAAATTAAAACACAATTAGCAAAAAGCCACAATCACAATAGCCAATAGGAAAGGTAAAATAACACCTGATGAAGCGTTAAATAATACCATAGGGCTAAGAGTAAGAATAGATAAAAATTATATTATTGTACTTTCTTACCTACTTTATAGTTTATAGTTTTATACTGTTGATGTAAAAGAAAATGATATTTTAGACATTCACATTAATACGCATTGTTTAAAAATAGAACAAATTTAATCTATTACGATACAAATATATGTATATAAACGTAGATAGTAGATACGTCATACTTAGCTATCGCTAATCGAAAAATTAATTATTGTTATTGTTGTTTATTTTTGTTATTCGAACATTGATTATGTTTATTTATATTTACATTTTATACATAATTTAGTTTCAGCACAATTATAGTACATACTACATACACCAAGTAGATATGTATTTATACGGGTATCGACCAGTTTATACAGAGGCCCCTAGGCCCTAATGGAGCTTATAAATATTACAAATACGCATTAAGGGCCGCCAGAGCGCCAGTATTATAAAAATAAACTTTTATATTATTATTAATATTATTTATTTTTGTAGGGCCGGCTCAATTTGGTAGCAAAATAGGCAGCCGCCTAGGGCGGCACTAGTGTGGGGGCGGCAAATTTCGAATAAACCAAAGTGATTTAATTATTATAATATAATGTAGTATGCTGAATTGTATGTTCATTGTTCATTGTTCAAAATATACAAAAATAAATGTGTAATAACTAATAATAATATACTATTGATACTTCGTTTACCGAGAACGTAACCAAATGTAGCTGTAGCACTTCACATTATTTTAACTATGCTTGTGTCGGTTGCATCTGGTGAACGGAGCTTTTCCAAATTAAAAATAATTAAAAACTATTTGAGGTCTTCTATGAATCAAGAAAGGTTAAGTGATCTTGCTACAATTCCTATAGAAAAGAAGTAATGGAAAACCTGGAGTTTAAAAATTTACCGACTTATTTTGTCCAAGAAAACGCTCGCAAAATTAATTTCATTTAATATATTTTTAATTGTGTAGTTATATATTTTTTAATGTTTAATTAAATACATATTGTTGATCTATGAAAATGATACTGAATGAGTTACTATGGTCAAAAATATTACTTGTTCTATTTCATACCCAACATTTATATTAATTTTATTATTATTTTATATTTTGTAAAGAAAACTGAGGTCAGTCAAAACATTTTTAAAAAAAAATAAAACAAGGGTTTATAGTTAAAAATAAATGTCCATATTTTATTCAACCCCCTCCTCTCAAAAAAATTAACTATTGTATATAGGGCAGCGTAAATTAGATTTGACTAGAGCGGCAAAAGACCTACGGCCGGCCCTGCTCGGAGGCCTGGTCTCCGAGTATAATATTGATGGGGGCATACCGGGAACATCCCGATTTCCCGATAGGCCTATCCGCCCACTGTAATCTTTACAGTGAAACAATTTTTGACAACGTAATTTACAAAATTTAATATATAAACTTGCAGATATTTTATAATAACAATTACTTATCAGCGGTTGTTGTTCTTAAAATATGTATTAATTTTAGATTTTAAAAATAAAACTATTTTACACAACACCCAGACCAACTTACGTGCACGTCCTAGAACGTCTATATATAAATACATTCCAACTACTAGTTAGGTTATTCGGTATGAATTTATCATTGTGAGTTGTGGCAATAATTATTAATTTCTCCATTATAAATATTATATTATAAAAGTAGGCATGTTTTTTTCATCGATATATAATAAATTAATAATGGTTAAACACTTAAACGACAACAACCGGTCTACTTTTGAAATTAGACAAAATGCTAAAATTCCCCCTTCTCCTACCCCCTCCTCACTCACACTGATGTAGGTTATTATTTGTCAGTAGACTATTGATCTCAATAAATAAATAATAATAAAACAAAATTCACTGTACTCGTATATAATTGAACTGACCGTATGACCAAAAAGTTTTTGTCTTAGGTTTAAAGTTCGACCAGTTTTTTGAAGTTCTTTAATTAGTTTCCAATTTTTGTTAACTTCTACCGCTATCTCATTTACTTTTGACAAACTATTTTCAATAGTTAATTTTAAAATAACACTACTTAAGTATTCCACATTATCTTGTAATAATATTTCATCTTCGAATTGAATTTTCTCAAATTGTTCAATATTGGTTGCTATACTTTGCAATGACTCTTTTATTCTTAGCTCAATCTTATAAGGCCAAATTTGGGAGTCATATTTTAATTTTAACTGTTCATCATCTACTATCCACAAAAAAGTATCCAACATTTCCATATCCTATAAATAATAAATTGAAAAATAATTGTAACATAATAATTAATGGCTAGTAACTTGTAAGAGCCAAAAACAAACTCAGTAATGGTGTTATTATATAGATTGGTAGGTAGTTGAATATTTTTATATTATGAAAATAATATTTTGTTACCTTTAATAATCGTCTTACGATTTCAAACTGATAGCTAATTAAAAGTGGCAAGGTATCTATAAATTCTCTTATTTCAAACACTTGTTCTATTGATGTCGGAACTTCAATAAGCCTCAGATACATTCTTTTGTATTCTGCACAGCATATTTCTATTTTCTCAGTTGTTAAACTAGCATGTGTTTTCATAGTTAAGTCTGCTAAATCAATCCGTTTTCTTACCAACAAATGTTTCAATGATTTGGTGTTTATTAAAAATAGTCCAATAGTAATAGTCTCTGGAAATGTCTTCTCTAGTTGTAACTTCATTTTTATTTGCATTGATATTTCTTCTCTTATTCTACTTAGTGATGGATTACCATCAAAAAATGTCCTTTTAAATACAATTATATTAAATTATGTGATTAATATTTATATTAAGGAAAGTAACAAATTTCTTTATATCTACTAACTTTACATATGACTCGATATCCGTATTAAATAAACGTGAATGGATATGGAATTCTTTACAGTATGCTTTTAATGGAATAATAGCTAAGCGAATACTATTTTCAATAGAAGATTGTAGCTCAGTGATTTTGGGTTCAATAAGCCCTATTGAGGTTAAGTATGGTTTTTCGGCAAATGTCATGTTCGTGAGTAAATATGGATGAATAGCTGGTATCTCGTGGCTTTCAAGTACCACACGTTTAAATAAACTTACAATAACAGGCTATATAATTCATAAACACATTGTAGTATGTCCTAATATATCCATAGGTACTCAAATACTCTACATTGTATCTATATTCCTCGTATAAATAAGTCAATTTGATATATTGACAAGACCCTTTTAAAAGATATTTACATAGATACCTATGTTATTTTCGAAAAATAACAAAATATTAATAGTATAACTTAATATTATAATATAACATAAAAATAATTAGATTCAAAACAAAAAGTGTTAAAGATTATATTCTTATTAAACGAACATATAAATTGCTACCTATACCTACAAGTATAAGTAACTATAGATGTTTATAATCGAACATGTGCACAAGAGTAATTTTGTCATTTATTTTGCTACAAAAAACTAACAAATTAAGTTTAAATTACTTACCTGACTACACTATCTGCAATAAAATGTAATTGAAAGACTATCAAAGTTCTTAGAAAAAAAATGTTGTGATTGTAAATTGTAACCTAAATTCAGTTACTTCCCAACATTGTATATTGTGTATAAGTATATAATACAATTATTACTGTTAGTACATTTTTTTTTATTGTTATATAATATGACTGTTTTTCCCAAACTGTGGTAATTGAACTCCTAGGGGTCAGCATGTATATTGAAGGGAGTCAGCAAATGATAATCATTTATTATTGTTAGGGTAGGTTATTTTTACTACGAAGACTGCAATCATTTTTACTATACTCTAAGGGGTCCGGCGGAGGAGAAGTTTGGGAAACGCTGCATTGAAACATTATAAACTATCTGAGGTACATTTAATATTAAATAACTCTTAATAGTCATGTTTAAATAATAATTAAAAAAAAAATTAATTAATAATCTCGGTTCTATACCATGTGGCTATGTCTACTGCTATTATAATATATAGCTATTATAATATATACTTCTCTATTGTGAAATAAAAATAGCTTTTTTTCAAATTAGAATTAATTTCCTTAGGTACAGTTTGTCAATATCTATACTACTATACACATAACATACTTCAAATGTATCTGGATCAATAGAGTAATATGCTCCACTTTCATTCATATTGAGTATTGTTGAAAATAATGGAGTTGCGCATTCACCAAATGGTGATTTATTCAAATCACTGCCCCACACAAAATCATCATTAAGATCTTTCATTGGAATGCAAGGTTGCTCGATTAGTGAAGCATACAATTTTGCTGATCTTATCACTACTAGTCTTAGACGTTCCTATATAGGTATAATTATACAGTATGTACCTACTATACATTTAGATAATATATGTAGGTAAGCTACAAAAGTACACAATTTCTTACTTCCATCATATACTTAATAAGTGTCATCAATTTTCGCAATTTGTTGATTGATGATTCATAAGTCTGAATTTTACTTGTTGCAATATCAAACCAACAATTTTTTATATTTTTTAAAGCTGCATAACATCTGAAAGTAACTTCTTTTGTCCAATAGTTCTTAAGCAAATTAAAAGTCTAAACACATAGTGTTATGTATTGAGATATATTTTAATACATATTTTTTGTTCAAATAATACATAATTAAAAAAAAAAATCACTTCAAAAATATTTTTTAACTGTATTGTTTCAAATTCTTTTAGTGTTACAGCGACTGGGAAAACAGTGAATAACAGTTGTGTATCTTTTATAAATATGTTTTCTGAGTTAGACTCACAAAGAGCTTTAAAAACTTCAGGTAATTCTAATAATTTTTTTCTATTAAATTCTTCTCTTGCATTTATAAATATTTCTTTTGTACTCATTATTGTACTTAATAGTGCTGTTGAATATTATAAAAAAATAAATACACAGTCATTTCTGTATTCAAATATTACTAATTCATACTAGGCTTTTTTATGAAGTGTTCAAAACGAAAATTTGGTATTTTCAGACTACTGTGATGGTCTTTGGTCATAGATTTTAATAACTGAAGCCTAAAAGATAGGCATGATTCTTGAAAAATTGAATTAATTTGTTGAACAACCTATACAAAATATATTATAGTTGTGAGTATTTAAATAAGTATAATAATAATATTTATTGCAGCAAAAAAATTACTAGAAGTATAAGGAGAGAAACCAAAACATATTAATATATTATATGAAATTGGGATAGATGGTAAGTAAAATAATACATTTAATGACTGTAGTACATGTTTATTATTATTAAATTTATATTTATTTAAATGCATTTTATATTCCAGCATTTTGAGATTTAGTGCTTTACTCTTAATTCTTTATTTTCTTTTACCTACCATTATTGTGACATACTGATAGATAGTGACATTGTTGGTCATATTTTGTTTATTTAATACCCAAAAATATAGATTAATTACCTATCATATTTATCGACTGCCTATCACTTATTGGAGTATTCGAGTAGTTTTTAATCTATTTTTAATTTGTTTAATTTAATTTTTTTTATTACATACCTAGTCACACATTCATCTATTTCCAACATTTTTGAACAGGTCAGAGGTTCATCTTTTATACATAATTTTCATTTCATATAATTTTGCACTCATTTCATTAAATTTAAGGAAATACTAAAATGTATACCTACCTACTTAATTATTCATAATATATAAATGCTTTTGAACCCCATCTCTATTTGCTGCTGGCGAGTCCCTTAGTTTTTTTAAATAATATTATAAGGTATGTAAAATGTATCGTTTGGCCTGTTTTTTAATAATTGGGTACTGTATTTAATCGAAGAAATTATTCAGGGGTGGATTCACTGTCACTTATAATATATGATTATTGATTATGGTAAGTAGGTATATTCAATTTTTTAATCAATTAGATCAACGTTTCTCAACATGTGGTATTCTAAGAAAATTTACCTTTATAAAAAAAATGGAATGGACCATTATTCAGATTTAACAATATTTGATTTATATAATATTAAAAATAATATAAATAGTAATTGTACATATTTCATTTTCTTTTTTTGCATTAAATGCTTACATTATCATAATTTTGTAAGTCCTATTCAAATAAAATTCTGTACATGTAAAATAATGTATACATTTTTGATAAGTATAAAAAAGGTTATTTGGTCAAGTGGTATATGAACATTTTCAAACTGTGTAAGTGCTAGGTCCTAGGTGCCAGGTAGTACACGAATTAAAAAAGGTTGAGAACTGCTGAATTAGATAAGCTACAACATGTCTCAAAGAAACCGTTGCTATCTTTTAAAACTCTTCGTAGGTAACTTTGAACCTGCAATTTAATTTAGTATTTTTATAATCCTTACGATATTTTTATCTTTGTTCATTTTATTCATTTTTTGATTGTTGAATATTAGACTTAATATTTTTTTAATTGTTCCATCTGATAATACGTCTGAATTATTCTTGAGATGTTTATCAATTTGAACTTTATTAAGATACATAGTCCACCTGGAAAAAAACAATATTATCACAACTTTTTATCAAACTATTTACTACTGGAACAGTCTGGAAAACCCCCATGATTTTAATTAATACATATAATTTTTATCACGAAGTTACAAGTCTTGAAAAAAAAATTAACTTTGACCCCCCCCCCCTTATTCGGAGTTTTAATATTATTATATTTCTGCAGGTCCTCTTGAATAAACGAAGTATATTTACACTCACACAGTTCAGAAAAAGCGTCAATAAAAAGTGACAAGTGTCAGGTTGGTACCTATTTTAGAAGTTCAAGTTTTTTTGGAGTTATTATACTATTAATTATTATAACTTTAAAGAATATGTGTACCTATATTTCTGTTTAAATAAAATTAGCCATTATTGCTTAGAATCGTTAATATCTTAAAATCTTTTGTTAAATAAAGTTTAAGTGTAAAAACTCGTAGGTATCATTGTAAAACTATAAGTCTGTAAGTATAAATGTATAATATTCATACATGTTTTAATGTTTATCAAATACCTACCTACCTTGTAATATTAAACACTAACAAGATTTTTCATAAATTACATCTTCGTCCTTCGCACCTTATACATTTAAATGGACTTATAAAAGTATACAACAGACAAACATATTATTATTGAAGTATCTCACTTATAAATATCTTCACAATAAGCCCGCCTTGAGATCGCATATTTGATTCTCTTCACAAATTCTCTAGGATCTTCTCCTTTAAAGTGTATTTGTATTCTAGGTATTTCGGTATATACTTTGGTTGAATTGTTATTCAATATAACAACTGAATACATTTTCAATTTTGAATTATAATCAATTACATTTGCATCCGTCCAATCGTAGTTTATAGAGAACTCTTCATTTGAGTTAGTAGGCAAGTAAACAATTGCAGGTACCGGCAAATTAATTCCATTAGTATCTTTTTTTAACCATTCATCAGGATTTCGACTATCGAATTCGGTATTATCGTAATACCATAATGGTGTAAAATATTCTTTATTCGAAATTATGACATCAGAATCAACAGGTAGAGGCACTAATTCACTATCTCCGATGCCATAATCTGTCAATAGTTGAGGAATTGAAAATGTTGCATATAACTTTTTCAAACGTTCAAGATTAACAACCCTCAACATAATGTCTGAAAGTATTTCAGTATTTCAGTATTTTTTTTTTTTTAATTTTGAAATAGTCGAAATTGTGTGTTTAATTTTTTCATATTTAATTCAGGTATGTGAGTATGTATATATATTATCTGTTGGAGGATTGTTATACCCATGGTAATTTATATATACGGATGAATAGATTCGTATAACTATTCATATAATAAATAGTTTAAGTGTACTTCTGTACCAAAGGTTCCCAACCTTTTTATTTTGAGAATTTTCCAAAAACCTAGGATCACCCTTCAGTGACATATATAGACATTTAGTATGCCCACGGATATATTTCTGTTTCACAGCTCAGCTTTCCAGTGGCAGCAGTTGGGTTGGTTGAATTTAATCTATACAACAATCTATATGCACGTTCCCAATTCACCACGTGTTCCGAAAACCTTATAATATTATTAAACGATATTCCTCAAGAAAAACAAATTTCTCTACGATCTGCAAATACAGAACAATCAATTGGAAATGGACCTAATGTACATGCTGTAAAATTGGTGTTTTGGACAATTCAAAATGCCATCAAAATCAATCATGTAATAATTTTGACAAATAGTGTAGATAATATAATTGTAATTGTAATATAATATAAAAATCTCCTCCCCAACTGAATGATGCAATACGTACACGAACTCATCTTTATATGTAGAAAAAAATTAAACTGGATCAGAATGGTTCTCGCTAGAACCAGATCTACATTTTTCAATTGGGGACTTACAGTGATTCCAATATTGTAATTTTACATTTAAAAAAAATTGTACCCCCCCCCCCCCCCACAGATCTTTACTCTAGATCCGCGCCAGTGACCATATATGGTTAATACTATTCTCTGAAGCAAAATTCCATACGATTAATAAACAAAATATATTATAATACTACTAGCATTAAAATAAATTACTAATATATATATGTTACGGGCAAAGTGGAAAATTCGGGCAATGTATACAATGTCCGAGGTATATTGGGCAATGTAAATTGTGAAGTATTTATACAAATAATCTGCATAATATATTTTGTTAGATGATAATGATAAACTAATATGAATTTATAATCGATATCTGACTGTGCTTGCATGTCGATCAAGTCAATTTGACAGCGAGAATTCATTTCGGAAGATATGATTGGTTTTACAACCAACCCTTTTTTATCTGTACTTCCCTTATTTTTACACGATTCGTAATTATTTAAGTATAACATTATTACATCTCTAGTTATATTTTTGTACTTTTTATTAATCTCGTGTTCCATTCTATTTCTACTTCCATGTCCAATTGACAAATGAACTTCATGTATAATATCATATAACTGAACATTATGCACATAATATTTTATTGCAGTACCTACCTTTAAATACATTTAAAATTTAATTAATTTAAAAAAAAATGTAATACTCTTATATATAAATAACCATATAAACGAGTATAATAATTATTAGTATATAATATCATTGATTAGGTAAAATAATATTATGCAGATTATTTGTATAAATACTTCACAATTTACATTGCCCAATATACCTCGGACATTGTATACAATGCCCGGTCACTGTGTATAATGTCCGGGCATTGTATACATTGCCCGAATTTTCCACTTTGCCCGTAACATTTATATTATAATATTATAAAAAATCCTAGAGAATAGAAACTGATACAGAGACACCGACGGTAATAACCGTATGTTCAATAACTCCTTCGCAAACAAAACACTTGATAAAAACAAACTTCTCAATGAAGAGTATCTTCAAATTTCAATCTAGAGCAATACGAGTTTTTCAGTTTTTATAGTTGGTAATTAATACGGCTCAGATTTTAAAGCATAGCAAAATAAATAACAAAAAGAGCAAAAAAAAGCATGACCAAAAATGAATATGAATTAGTTATAAAACTGAATCTAAAAAAAAATTGAAAAATTAATTTAAATAAAAAAAGAATTAACTACTAAAATTAAAGTATTAACTTATGTATTTTGCAAGATTTGCAGAAGTGAAACTAAATATAGTAATTAGACTACTATAGTAATCACTAATCGGTCAATATTTCATGCAAGAGGTTTCGCTTAAATCAAACCCAAGATCATTAATTTCATTTGATAAATCGCCACACAGTTTACCTATTATTAATGTTTAGTTCCTAAACCTAATTGTTTCCAGCCTTTGATTTTTACTTTTTTTGATTACCTTTATCAAAGTATTCTGTGTGAATAACGAACATAATTTAACTTGGATTTTGTGGTTGTAATGTGCCCACTATTACCTATGCAACATTACGCTGAGTAGGTAATTAACTTTTGGCATTTTTATAAATTACAACACTAGAACTTAAATTTTGAAATTTTCGACATCGGTGTTTTAGGAGTACTGACCGTAGATTCTACAGACTTTAAATAAGTAGATCGATAAGCTAGAAAACCAGAAGATCGATCATCTGTACATTTAACACTCAAGCCGATAACGAAAACAATAATAATCCAAAATAACCATTTAGTCCGTACTCCGGGTTTTCACATTTCTAATTAATTAAATTAAATTTTTTTTATTCCTATAGCATACCTAATATACATATAAAAATTCCACTGCTGGAATAACTAAAAAAGCAAAAATAAATTGGTTTCAATTGCCAATTGGAATCAGAATGACGTGAAACGAATGTTTGTATAAAAATAAGATTTCTATTTCATGTTTAAAAAAAGAAGTATTTCCTTTAAAATCCGAACCCTAGTAAATTATAATTTATTAATAAATACCTATTTATGTAGTCTTATGAGCACTAAAATATTGCCTTTAGGAAATTAGGACTTAAAAACGAAATAGTTATTTAAATGGTTTAAGGTAAATTATTGCTAAATTGCTAAATAGTAATTATAAAAATATAAACTAAATAAATACTTATAGAATCGTTCTGGAAGTGTTTTTATGTTGTAAAATAAACTATAATATTGTTTTGATTTGCTATCATAAACACAACAATTTTATGAAAAAATACACTACTAATAATAAAGTAGATTATCAAAATAAAAATAAACACATTTTGAATTTGTTCAATAGTATGATATGTATAATTCTGTAAGCCAGATAATAAATATTACTATCGTTGATTTGTATAATACCTAGGCTGCACCTATAGGTATAATCAATAATTTACTATCATGATTCAATAATGATAATTGAACTTCACAATTATTAAGAAAATTATTATATAAAATAATTGTTTTATATGCATATAAGAAATTTAAATAAGTCTTAAAGTAGGTATACCCATTATATTTTAAAAGAGTAAAGACGATTAGGCGAACGTCGATTAATGAGATTCGTGGAGTATAGTTGAAGCTTTACAATTTACAATAGTTTTTAACACATTTTCATATTGTATTAGGTACAATGTTTGCAGTGATGCACTAGTAGTAATACAATACATAATATATGATATATATACATATAATATATATGAGGTAATGAATTAGCTGATACATTTACCAAAGAAGCCATCTCCTCCACCTCTCCCGCCAAATCTACACCTGCACTTTTCAAGACCTCAAAACCACCATTGACAACCACATTCTAACACAATGGCAGATCCTATGGTCAACTCTTCACACCAAGCTTAATAAAATAAAACCCACAGTCTCCCCATGGCCATTCTTCTTATTACCCAGACGCCAGGAAGTAATCTTAAACAGACTACGGATAGGCCACACATGGGTGACTCATAAACACCTTATGGACAGATCTGAACCCGAACATTGCCACACTTGCGGTGAAACTTCTGCGGTTGAACACATAATATGCCACTGCCGTAAATTCGCCGACATCAGAACTAACCTCAACATATCAGACAACCTGGAAGAAGCCCTTAGTCCACAGTCAACCAATATAAAACAAATAATTAATTATTTAAAATTAACGAGATTATATCACCTAATATAGCCTAGATATACTTCAAACATACCACTTATAATTATGTATCCATTTATCTATTTATTTTTATTGTAATTTTCTTATCATATTACTATGTATATATTATTATTAATGTCTTACATTTTTGTTAAAAAATATTAATGTCTTAATGTTCTAATGCCAATAACCTTTGTTGTTGTGGCTTAAATAAAAAAAAATTTAAAAAAATACATAATATCTACATATTTACTATGTGTCTATGTATTGAATACGTATGATCATTATTCATTATCATCAAAACCACAATAGTGTACCTACAATGGCGAGGTACTACTTCTATAATAATATTATAACACTTAAATATAGGTACTTACCTATTTTGGCTACACTTCAAAGATAAAGCATATATTATAATATTAATATGTTTTGAAACCGTGCACACTTTTCCATGTGGTATCGCCTCATGAAATGGTTTAGTGAGGAAGTGGCTTGATTTACTTATAGTTGGGTACAACATGCAATATATGTGGGTAGTTCTTTTGATTATATCTTTTAAGTGATAGGTACAAACAGTTTAATTTTTTTTTCGATTTGGATACCTAAATATTTTATTTTATTGATCCATTCAATGTTGTGGCCTTTCAGGGTGATTTTTCTTCTGTGAAAAGACGCCATGGACTTTTGGCTGAAAAGTACAACGTTTTTTTGAATATTATTCATATCATGATATAATATTATTATTATATCATGATTCATATATATTATATAGTTCATATAATCTGTTCTTGCTCGAAACTTGTTAAGTTTGTTATTTAATATTCAGTGTAATGGGGCTCAAAACTTAAAAAAAATTAGAAAAAAATAAAAGATATTTAATGGGTAATTTTTTTTGTACGGGTGTCCAATGCTTGCAGAAATACAACAACTAAAATGCGTAATTTCATAAGCTTCAACCATTTTATTAAATTATTACATTATTGTAATTACTAATTATTGTTGGGTGGACTGTGCCATGCGCCTAAATACAGTACTTGCACCTTTTTTTTTTTCATTAGAAGAAAAAATATATACATGCAAT